CTTTGAAGTCTTTGTAGCGTGTGTTCATCCAAGCCCAGCTCTTCTTTTGGCCCTCATTACTACTAACTATATTTAGTTCAGTAATAGTTTATTGTAGCTCCTACAACAGTATGTAAAGTGTGTACATTTCACAGAACATGTGTAAATATATTATAATATTATGTTCCACTGTCATTCAGCGTTTCAGATACATTTGTTTAAAAAATAAACATACTCTGACCTGTGCTTACTGAAATGTATATGATATCTTGCAAAATTGTAATGTGATTTGAATTAATATGAAATTAGAATTATAAAAACATATTGCTGATAAATAATAAACAGTGGTTTGATTGATAATGGTGTAAAGTTTTAAAATTATAATCAAATTAGTATTTTGGGCTACATTCGTGATATTTTATCAAATTTTGTTTTTGTTCTAAATATACCTAACAAGATGATTTGGTATATAAATATTTGTTACACTGAATGACATTTCACACAGTTGAGTACACCCCTTTTGAAACATTTTTTTTAATCAATTTCTCAGTGGGTTTAGGTAATATATTTTGGTGTATTTAAACGAAACAGATTTATTAAACGGATATTTTTATTTAAATTTTTTTTTTTTCACCAAACATCTTTAGAAATATAAAGATAATACATTTAAATTCATGCAAAATACTGCTACTGTTAATTTGTTTGATCCAGATCTGGCTTCAGTAGTGCCTAATCTATTATATAGTTGGTCAGAATTATTAGCCCCCTGTTTATTTTTTTCCCCAATTTCTATTTAACAGAGAAAATTACTATAATTATTTGATTCATTATTAAATATTTTTATTAAAATTATTGAAGTAATAGCATTTCCCATTTTCTGTAATTGATTACTTCTGACACGCTGTTAAATACAGACATACTGTAACTTCCAACCGCTGCATGCCAACTAGGACTACATTCTCAGTTGTATAAAGCAACCCGTCATGCAAATGTAAAGGTAACAATGATTAGGTTTATATTAACCAGCCTCCGTGTGCTTCACGTCTGCGACTCGTACTGCATCAGAGTCACACAAGTCATTTGATTCACAAACTATCAATGAGACAAAACAATCAATAATACATTTGTTTATTTATAAAGAAAAGGCCCAAATAAAGAATTTTGTAAAATAACAACAAAAATTAAAAACTGCTTTTATTCTAGCCAAAATAAAACAAATAAGACTTTATCCAGAAAAAAAATATCAGACATACTGTCAACATTTCCTTGCTCTGTTAAACATAATTTGGCAAATCTAAAAAAAAATGTTACAAAATTTGAGGGGCTAATAATTCAACTGTATGTATGTATGTATGTATGTATGTATGTATGTATGTATGTATACATATGTATGTATACGTATGTTTGTGTGTGTGTATGTATATATATATATATATATATATATATATATATATATATATATATATATATATATATATATATATATATATATATATATGCAAAAATATTATATTGTAAAGCATCCTATAGAAATTTTTAATTTACAAGAGAGGTTTGTGAGAGGTGTACTGCATACTTTTATACTTTTTAATGGCAAGACAAACCTTTCTTACAGTGTTATAAATGAGTGTTTAGTGTTTTATTTTTAACATCTTTAGTAAAAGTAGTATTTGTTTATCATTTTAATATAAGCTATACCATTAAAATCTGTATTAGCCAAAATTTGAAAGCTGTTCACATCCATCATCGGGACCTTATATACCTTTCTGTATATTATCTTTTTTATTATATGCAATTTAGACGCATGTTGTCATCATGTTATAATAATTTCAGCGAGAACTCTATATGTTTTGCGTATTCTATATTTTACATATCTTATATGTTTTATTAATGTTTATGGTGTTTCATTCACTGTAAACAATGCAGACAATTCATTCATGTTGTCCCAACACAAATCGATTTAGTTAACCTAGTAAATTTAAGTGGACTGAACATAACACAATTAAGTTGTCCCAAAAAAAATCTCAAGGATTGTTTTGTTTTTAGCTCTTTTTAAGTAGTTTGAACAAGCAAGACATATATATATATATATATATATATATATATATATATATATATATATATATATATATATATATATATATATATATATATATATATATATGTATTTTATGATATAATTTTGAGTGTTCTTCATAAAAGGAGATTTTTGATGTATGGGAGGAGATTTTTCAGAAGTGTCAATTCTCTCATTGATTCTTTTCAGTGCAATTTCATATCAATCTTCAAAAAGTTACTCCAAGTATTCTGAAATTTGTCTATAAATGTTTATTTGCTGCTTGTTTAAGCTACTTATTTATAATGAGCTGAAACAACACAATTCTGGAGGTTTTTTTGGACACAACTTAATTGTTTTATGTTCAATCCACTTATTTATGTTCAATCTAATTAATTTAGTCGATTTGTGTTTGGACAATATGAAGGAATTGTGTGGTACTCAAATTTTTTTATAGTGTATTCTGGCTTCTTTGCTACTTTCACTAGAAAAAACGACCTGTATGGTCAACAAGTTTCACCACATATTATGCCAATTTTGTGGATGGACAGCGTGGCAATACCGGCACTAATCAGCCTGTAAGTTTAGCTGGGCAAACATGCAGTATATTTTACATGACACACATGCTCTCATTTACACACACAGAGAGACACAGAGCTGGCATGTCATAAGGCGGATGTCCACTCCTCCACCCGGGTAGTGTGTAAGTCAACACCACCCGCAGGAAACGCTCATGCCACACATGAATTAGTGATTGACACATCCTCCTGTTACACCGAGTTTGACTTCAAAACAAAGCCTGTTTGTGTGTGGGAACAGATGCAGTCATATGTAACAAAAAGTCAATGGAAGAGAACACAAACATTATGGTCACACTTTACAATAAGGTTCATTAGTTGATGTTAATTAATGCATTTACTAACATCAACAAACAATGAACTGTACATTTACTACAGTATTTATTCATGTTAACAAACGTTAGTTGATAAAAAATACAGTTGTTCATTGTTAGTTAATGTTAACTCATGGAGCATTAACTAATGTTAACAAGCATGGGCTTGGATGTTTATAATGCAATAGTAAATGTTCAATTATGAATAATAAATGCTGTACAAGTGTTGTTCATGATTAGTTCATGTTAGTAAATGCATTAACTAATGAACCTTATTGTAAAGTGCTACCCATATTATAAATGAAACAAAAAAATATACATAATAATTTTTTGGATTTATTTTGATAGCTGTTATTAAAGAATATTTTGCTGAGTGTATTTCTACCTGCCGTGGATAAATAAATAAACCCATTGAAACCAGTAATAGGTGACATTAAGTTATTTTCTTAGGATATGTGATAGGAATCGTTCACTCAAAACTCTGTTATCATTTACTCATCCTTCATTTGTCACAAACCTGTTTGGGTGTTATTTTAACATAAACATAAACACAAAATAAGTTTTTAGGGAAAAAATCAGATAACCATTGACTTCTGATAACCATTGACTTCCAAACTATTTGTTTTTCTTACTATGAAACATTCTTCAATATATATATATATATATATATTGTGAGTGTGTTCAACAGAATAGAGAAACCCATAAAGCTTTGGAACCACTTGAGAGCAAGTAACCGGTGAATAAATTGTCATTTATGGGTAAACTATCCCTTTAATGAATGAATCATGGAATCAATCGTTCAAATGATTCGTTTAGAATGGCTGATTCATTAATAAACAAAACAAGAGACTTTATAATTGATATGCTGAATGTTTTCTTAATTAATTTGTTCAAAAACAGTGAGATTCATTCTGGAACAAAACACTGTAGTGTTGATCTAAGATGCACAAATGTTCGATAGTAAAACATAGATAATATTGTGTCTCAAATGCAACTCGCTCAGTCATATAAATTGTATGCAACATTTCAACAAGCGAGATCACATTTGTGATCCTGCTCACATGCAGATTTTCAGGAAAAAGTGCACTCTTGCTAGTTTGATATTCTTGAACTTGTGCACCTAATGCTGACCTTTACATGAGTTTTTTTGTTTGTTTTAAATCATCAGTTTGAATGTTGAATATTCCTCTTCAGGCCAATAGTTGAATCAATATTAGAAAGTATAGCCTTTATATCTTCAATGACCTTTAAAAGGATAAACACACACAAAATACACACCCTTCTGTTGAACACAAAGGAAGATATTCATAAGAATGTTTGACTTCCATAGATTTCATTTGTTTTATACTATGAATGTCAAAGGCTGCTTTTTCCCTCAACATTCTTCAGAATATATTGTTTTGTGTTCATAAACATTTAAATCGTGTGAGTAAATTATTTTTGGATGAAAGTTCCTTTTAATTCAATTAAGCCTTTTGTTTTGCTTGTTCTGTCGCTTTTTTCTCTTTACTTTCTCCATCAGCACACTGAAGGTCACCTCAATGCTTCTGCCTAAAATCATATAACATAACAATGCTTAAAATATGCACAGAATTGTGAAATTTTGTAAGGATTGCTGGGTTCCTAGGCACGGAAATCCTTAAAATTGCTTAAATTTTCATCTAAAGTTTCCAAGGTTTTGGTTGTGTTTGAATTGTGTTGCTTTCATAATAACTTATCTTACTAAATTGGTAATGATAATTATTTAAACACCTTTTAATAAAAATCTTAATAAAGAGAGCAAATGACAGTAGTTCAATTGTCGGGCTTAGGCCATGCAACCCTTTTTCCCCTTAGAATACTATACTATATTACAATAAAACAAACAGCATATGATATGATGTTATGTGATGAAATATGTATATGTATGTAATTTACCACAACTGTAAAGTGCTCAAAGTTTGAAAATGCTCCTGAAATGTGCTCAAATTTGACTTTATAAAGGGTTTGATAACCCTGGATTTAGAATAGGCATCAAGTTATTTTAAGCAAACCTTATTATTGTAGTAATGAACTGTGGTTTGTTCTCTTCAGGAGCGGTTTGAGGCTCTGTTTAGGATCTATGATGATCAGACGTCCTTCCAGATGTTCAAGAGCTTCAGAAGAGTTCGGATCAGCTTCAGCACTCCAGAGGCAGCTGCACGCGCTCGCATCGAGCTCCATGAATCGGATTTTAACGGCACTAAACTAAAACTCTACTTTGCACAGGTCAGTGTGCCAATGCTTGCTTTGGTTTTCTATGTATGGATTGTTTATTCAGAAGTGGAAGTTCACCTTCACGTTGTTGTAAATCTGTGTACTGATATTCTAAATCAAAGTGATTCTAAGGGTCCTTAAGCTCAAAAAAATTAACCAAGCAATACAAGACAACCAACAACAGTCATTAATCCATGTGACTTGTGTACTATATTTAAGTTATGTGTACTAAACTCAAGGTAGATTTCCAAAGTCAAAAATAGTTAAAGAGCCCATATTATGGGTTTTTGAAAATTCCCCTCCATGTAGTGTGTAACACAGCTCTAAGTGAAGTGAAGTATCCAGCTAAGGCTTAAATCTGTTAGTGTACAGTGTTTAAAACTGTTGATTCATCTATAAAAGAGTCGACTCATAGTGCTTCAAACGAGTCGCCTTGATACAGATTCATTAGGTGTTTCGCCATGACGTACGAACGAAACCAAGTTCTTCACGTGCACGCGCAAACCCGGGAGATTTCAAACCTGGGGCCCCGCCCTCTGACACAGAAACCCAGACACACACACACACACACAAACATGCCGGTCGATTGAAGTCACACTGCAGATGGATATATTGAGTCTCTACCCAAAGATGAAACCTCAGCATTATAGCCAAGCAGTTGGAAACTACTGGAAACTTCTGGAAACTACATGCTACAAAGAATACTTCATCGGCGTTTGTTAAAGGAAGGATCAGTAAAGAGTAACTTACTGATGGACGTCAGGATGGATTTTTCTTCCTCCATTTCTCAAGTGTAAGTACGTGCGATTAAAGTTGCCTCGTTTACTCGAGCTTGCAAATGTATTTAGTTGTGATTTGTTACTTGTAACCGCGTGTACTGTATCAGGTTAACTGGCTATATTCTCTTATCGCGTGCAAAGTCACGTTAAAAACGCGATGCGTGCTGCTTTGCTAACGGAGCTCCGTGGACGAGGAGTAGTGTGTGTGTCTGTGTGTGCGTGTGCGCGCGCTGTCGTCCGGAGGTGTGTGTGTTTGTGTGTGTGTGTGTGTGTGTGTGTGTGTGTGTGTGTGTGTGTGTGTGTATGTGTGCGTGCGCGCGCGGTTTTGTCCGGAGCAGGGTTAAGTGCGTGTGTATGTGTGTGTGTGTGTGTGTGTGTGTGTGTGTGCACTATTTGTGTGTGTGTCTGTGAAAAGAGCAGAGTGAGAAGCTAGGAGATCTCCTCAACTGTTTTTGAGTTTTTGCTCAATAAAATAGTCGTCTGAATTTTCAAGTCCATAGTCTGTATTTACATTGACCCACTGGCAGCTAAAATCCACGCCTACACTATCGAGCGTGTTTGAACTGTGATTACTTTTAAATTGCTGATTAGCTGTTTGGCATTTCACTCTCTGACTGAAGGCAGTCGACCAATCGCAACAGACTGTCAATGGTCCAATCAGCGCAGATTAGCTTCGCGCTAAGGAGGGGTTTGGGAACAAATGAATCACTGGACGATTCATACACGAGTCGCTGGGATAATTAGGTAAAAATAAATGCAGATTATAAGACCACGAAAGTGTTTTTTGACCTTGCATGCTTATTAGACTGTTGTTGGAGACCCTTACAACCAAGATATGACCCTATTTCATGTATAATATGGGCTCTTTAAAAGTTTGGTCCGAATGCTTAAAATATTACAGTTAAAAATAACCTTTCTTATTTTTAAACAGAGATTATTTTTGTTGGTTCTAAGCAGCCAGATAATCTTTTAGCATCCAGTCTTCAGTGTCATATGATCCTTCAGATATCATTTTAATAAAATGATTTGTTGCTGAAGAAACATTTATCATTATAGTCAGTTTAAAACAACTGTGCTGTCTATTATTATACAATACAAATTCTATACAACCATAATATTTTTTAATTGTTTGATGAATAGAAAGTATAAAACAACATCATTAATTACAGTGTTATTATTATTTTATTGCAAATAATTGACTATCACTTTTGACAGTCAATGTACTGTTAAGTACAATGCATTGTTAAATTTTATATATAATAATTATATATAAAAATTAATTATATAATATATATATATATATATATATATATATATATATATATATATATATATATATATAATTTTTTTTTATCTGGGCAAAAATCATTTTACTGATCAGTAATATGTTTGCAAACATGTCAAGTGTAAGTCTTAAAGTCATTTATTTTCACCTAATCTTACCCTCTCAATTTTAGCTTCTTTAACTCGTTGGTCTATATTCACATATTCTTGTCAAACAAGGGTTCAATAAAAATAAAATCTCTTGACACAGACATGTTTCTAGACAAGTTAAAAAGAACGGCATTTTGACATTTGTTAAGCTGACATGTCATTTTTCAATCCAGCAAAGCCTACAGCACAGGTATAGGTTGCTTCTGGGCTTGTTTATATATTTTCTTCCTTGTTTGGAGGTTTATCTCTTTTGGAGTATTTGTTTTCTGTTAAATACAACTAGATTTATTTTTGTATGTTGTTTTTATTTAAGAATTTTGCAATGTAATATCCAAAAACACAAAGGCAAAACACAAGGAAACAATAAAAAAGTGAACATAATGCATTTACTTTTACTAGCCAATTCAACAAAAGGCAAAAAAAAAGTTCATTCACTTTAGGTTTAGTTCATTGCTTCAATATATCAAACTCTACCTGCTTTTAACCTGCTTTCAGTGATCTGATCACTTTAACATGACCATTTCCACCCCTATATTAACATGCATTCAAGTGTCTTGTGACCACTTGTCTTTGGATTTCTTTGAGACCCTTCCTCACTGTCTACATCACTTTAGTGCTCATTGCGACTCAGAAATACAATTGAACGAACAAACCATGTGGATGGCAGCTATAGAGGTGATGGTATTGATTTTTTTATCCTTTCTTACCGCGGTTATGAAGCAACAAATCACTCAGATTAATAATTAACCGCACTCCCATACATCATTCATCTGCTGTAGATGTAGATCTATGTTTTCCATAGTAGGAAAAACAAATACTATCCAGCCTCTTTAAAATATCTTCCTATTTTTTTAACAGAAGAAAGAAAGCCGGTCACATTTTATTTTGATGGTCCGTTTGTTGAACTTCAGTTACACTGCATCTACATGCCAACTAATTCTCATTAGATTATAAGTAGACTGTTAGGTTGGGGTTAGAGTTAGTGTAAGTTGACATGTACTTGCATAGTTTCTTTTAATCAGTTAAATGTCTGTTGAAGGAGCAGTATCTTCTTCTTCTTTGGCCTTAGTCCCGTATGGTTGCGGGGTCGGCTCTTTGGAACAAGCCATTTTAGACTTGTCCATATGATAACAACTTTTTTACACATTTCGGCCGGCCTGTCGTCTGGGCCTGTCACCCTCATACACTCATACACTACGGACAATTTAGCCTACCTAGTTCACCTGCACCATGTCTTTGGACTGTGGGGGAAACGGGAGCACCCGGAGGAAGGGAGAACATGCAAACTCCTCACAGAAATGCCAACTGAGCCGAGGTTCGAACCAGCGACTTTCTTGCTGTGAGACGACAGCACTACCTGCTACGCCAGTATCAGCAGATATTAAGCAGAAAATCAACTAATACTCAAATTTACCATCAAAATATAGTGTTAACAGAAACCCATGTGGGTTTGAAACAGGTAAAGGGTGAGTAAATCAACACAGAGTTTTCATTTTTAGCTGAACAAGCCCTACTCCTTTATGCACATCAAATAATTTAATGTGAGAAACTGATTTTATGAGAAACATTATTCTTGCATTGCATTCATAACCTACTTTTGCTTTCCTCTACATAAAATAAGTAATAAACTGTTAACAGAATTTGGTCTTTTTAATAGGCTATCATGAATTAAGCCACGTTAAACCTGTTTTGCTCTCAGAGGATAACGCCTAACATAATTTAATGCGCTGTTTTCGTATTCAGGGTTCAACTATTTCAACTGTTTTTAACAATCTGAATACGGCATTCGCATTTATATAACATTTGATTAATGCATTAAGCCATGTTAATCGTTTTATGTCCCGATCCACAGGTCCTTGCTGAAACTGCACTGTAACATTCCATAGGGCTTGCCTTAGCGTAAGCTTGTGTAATGCACACAACAGCACAGGAAGCTGTGTTAATTCATTTTTCTGTGGCTTTTGAATGTACGACAGAAGACAGATTAGATGATGAAAAGCAATGATGTATTTATAGTTCATCTCACACACCATATGCACTACTGTACCTTTCACTAGTAGAAAAAAAAAAGTTTGGTCATGTGATTTCTGTCACAGGCCAACTGGCAGCTACCATTTTAAATGCAGTCTGTGTGTTTTTGTACAATGCAGGGAAGTATGAATAACCTTGCTTTTGCTCTGCTTTTACACAATACATCCCATAATGATCAGCTGTTAGGTCAACAGGCAGAGAGAACAGTAGGTGTACTGTGGGTGGTCTCTTGTTGTTGTTGTTTGAGCACATTTGACATTATGAAAACAACAACAAAAAGTGGTGGTCAAAAGTGGACAAAATAAAAGTAATTTCATTTTAACCCCTGAACACACTTGTGTTTAGACTAGAGTCATCTACTCGTGCATATTCAATCCAATACTAACAATTATACAATAATGCACATTAGTGCCACATCTAAATAAAAGCAGTCACGGGAAGTTTGCACTGACTATAACAGGGGTGCCCAAACTTTTTCGTATGAAGGGCCAAAATCCAAGCTTGATTGGGAGCTGTGGGCCGAAAATAAATATAGCAAACTGTATTATGTTGCCACGTAATTTCCTCATTTATTTCAATATATATATGAATAAATAGAAAACCATATTTACTATTACCTTCTAATTTTTTGAAAATGTATATTATTTTAACAAACTTATTACAATAAAACCTTTTCAAAAAAGGGTTAAAAATCCGGACCGGGGCAACACGGTGGCACAGTGGATAGCACTGCCGCCTCACAGCAAGAAGGTCGCTGGTTCAAGCCTCGGCTGGGTCAGCTGGCATTTCTGTGTGGAGTTTGCATGTTCTTCCCGTGTTCACGTGGGTTTCCTCCAGGTGCTCCGGTTACCCCCAGAAGTCCAAAGACATGCGCTATAGGTGAATTTGGTAGGCTAAATTGACCGTAGTGCATGTGTGTGAATAAGTGTATGGATGTTTCCCAGTGATAGGTTGCATCCGCTGGAAGTGCATCTGCTGTGTAAAACATGTGCTGGATAAGTTGGCGGTTCATTCCCCTGTGGCAACCCCTTTTTAAAAAAGGGACTAAGCCGAAAAGAAAAATGTAAAAAATCCAAACAATGGAGTTCAATGCCGAATACACTAGTTATGCTGAAGCTGCCTTTGCCTTGATTTGCATGTTTTTGTCTACTGCTTTGTCCCCTATTCGTTAAGTGACAGTGCGTACATTTTTAAAAAATCTGATTCCTTTAAAACATTTATTGGAAACATTGAGCTGTTTTTAAAGCTCAACAACAAACAAATGAACAGACAAAAGGTTACATTAAAATACAAATGAGAATCTCTGATGAAGGCATTCCCCAACCAATCCCAATCAATTTTCTTCTGGCGGGCCAAATCAAAATGACACTCAGGCCCTAGTTTGGGCATCTCTGCACTATAACATCATAAACCAAGAGACTAACGTAAGAAGTTTGGTTCATTTAACACATTGCCTTTGACTTTGTTCTTGGAGAATTATAGGAAGCAGCATGAGCTGACATCTCAGCCTGCCAGTTTAATATTAGAGCATCATTCTCCTCTCTCTGAGCTCTTTCAGCTGTGGATAATCACAGAACACACTGTTCTCAAAACATTATACACACGTGCACACACACACACACACACACACAGGTTTTTTAATTTTTTTTTTGTGAATTGTGGGGGGATTCCATAGGCGTAATGTTCAAACTATTTGTCTCTTTCTCTCTCTGTGACTAACAGTCATTTCCATTAATCTTGTCAAATTAGACAGACACAATTATGTTTGTACAATCATCATGTAGTATGTGTTCTCCGCGTGTTTTATTGTGTGCTCAGAATGAGCGAACACATGTTTGTGTGTCTGGATCTGATCTGGAACACAGTGTTTCTTTGAATCCTGAAATAATAGTTCTGTCAGCGGGATGTAACTACGGTGCCAGTACTCCTTCAAATCTATTTGATCTGGAACTTGAACTGTGCTATATTTAGCTCGGAGGGTATATTTAGATAAATAGGAAAGTGAGAGTGGTTTGTTCTTACTGTTTGGTCTTCCTTTGTGGCTACAGGTGCAGAATTCGGGAGACGATGTGGACAAGGCGTACCTGGCTCCACCTCAGCCGGTCAAGCAGTTTCTCATCTCTCCACCTGCGTCTCCACCTGTGGGATGGAGCCAGAGTGAAGACGCTACACCTGTCATTAACTACGACCTGCTGTGTGCTGTGGCCAAACTGGGACCAGGTACTAAACACACACACACACAAACATGCACACACAGGTTTGTTTTTGTAAGTAGTGGGGACATTTGATAGGTTTCCATTGTCTATGTACTTGACAAACTGTATTTTCTATTACCCTACACATAACCCTACCCCTTACAGGAAACAGGTTTTACTTCACTACTCATTCTGTATCATTGATAAGCTTTTATAAGATTTAATTCACAACCCTCTTGTAATATCTTTGTCATAACCATATCATTATAAACATTAGTGTCCTGATATGTCACAAAAACATGCACTCACACCGGCACATGTTTGTACTGTTGTCTTTGTGGACCCTTCCTATAAGGTATTTTCCATCCTACACCTAGCTATAAACCAAACTGGCACAGATTTGCATTTTTGATACATTCAGATAAAGAAAATTAGGTGTTTTTACTGATTTTGGTATATTTGAAAGGTGCACACACAAATGCATATCATATGAACATATGCTACAATCTCCCACACATAACAAACAGGCTGGGTAAATATGTGCAACCATCTGTCCTAACTGACTCAAACTACATTTTCACACCAGCCATGAAGAAACACAACACACATGAACTTCTGCAGATAGAACTCCAGAAGCATTCAAGTATGGCAGTCTTAAATGGATTGTTCACCCAAAAAAGAACATTTACTCACTATTTACTTTCCCTCAAGTGATCCCAAACCTTTATGAGATTCTTTATGAATTCTCTACTTTGAAAAAAAGAAGATATTTTGAAGAATGCTGAAAACCTGTGACCGTTGACTTCAAAATGAGGAAAAATAAGTACTATGAAATGAATTATTACAGGTTGTCAGCTTTCTTCAGTATATATTTTTTGGGTTCAACAAAGAAAGAAACTCAAATTTTTTTGATCAAGTGATGGTTGATGACAGAATGTTGAGTTTTGGATAAACTATGCCTTTAAACTGACTGCAAACAGGATGTTTGTAACAATCTATCAGATTACTTTTTGTGACATGCTTTCATGATCGAAAAGTGTGTTTTGTGAAGTATTTTGATTTAATTTAGGACATTATAGTTAACTAAAACTAGAATTATGAAAAAAAAAGAAAGAAAACAGTTCAAATAAGGTTTAAAAAGATGCAAATGAATAAATGATACTGTATTAAAAACTCACATCAACTAGTTGCCAAGCTAAATATATGCCATTTCATTTAGTTTAACCTAAAACTGCAATAATACAAACTAAAACTAACATTAAATTGGTTGTAACCTTTTAGGAACAATTGCTCCTAAAAATGACAAAAGCACACAATCAAATCATTACAAGTAAAAAAAAGGAATCTAAACTTAAAATGAAAGAAGAAAATACAAATAATTAATGAAAACCGCTGCAGTTATTTAATTATACACAAGTTCCACTCCTGCACTACAATTCAAAACTTTGAGATCAGAACATACACTCTCCAGCCACTATTTTAGGTACACCTGCCTTGTATCAATGGTTTAGCCTGGTGGTGGTGGTGGTGTAATGGTGTGGGGGATATTTTCTTGGCACACTTTGGGCCCCTTAGTACAAATTGAGCATTGTATTAACACCACAGCCTACCTGAGTATTGTTGCTGACCATGTCCATCCCTTTATGACCACAGTGTACCCATCTTCTGATGGCTACTTCCAGCAGGATAATGCTTCATGTCATAAAGCACAAATCATCTCAGACTGGTTTCTTGAACATGACGATAAGTTCACTTTACTCAAATGGCCTCCAGAGTCACCAGAGATCAATCCAATAGAGCACATTTTGGATGTGGTGGAATAGGAGAGTCGCATCATGGATGTACAGTCGACAAATCTGCAGCAACTGTGTGATGCTATAATGTCAATATGGACCAAAATCTCTGAGGGATATTTCCATAGATTGAATCTATGCTATGAAGGATTAAGGCAGTAAAAGGGTATTAGTAAGGTGTACCTAATAAAGTGTATTTGTAATATACTTTAAAGCAATGTTTTGCTAGGCAAGACTAGAATTCTTTGACGGAAACTGTTAAGAAATTAAAGTAGCTTTTATAGTGTAATATACAATAAAATCTAAAACATGTCAAAATGGGCAGTTCATTCTGCTGGGGCAACACCAGATTAATAAAGGGACTAAGCCGAAAAGAAAATGAATGAATGAATATGTCAAAATGTGGGTGACGCGGTGGCGCAGTAAGTAGTGCTGTCGCCTCACAGCAAGAAGGTCACTAGTTTGAGCCTCGGCTGGGTCAGTTGGCGTTTCTGTGTGAAGTTTGCATGTTCTCCCCATGTTAGTGTGGGTTTCCTCCAGGTGCTCTGGTTTCCCCCACAGTCCAAAGACATGCGGTACAGGTGAATGGGTAAGCTAAATTGTCTGTAGTGTATGAGTGTGAATGAGTGTGCATGGATCTTTCCCAGTGATGGGTTGCAGGAGGAAGGGCATTTGCTGTGTTAAACATATGCTGAATAAGTTGGCGGTTCATTCCGCTGTGACGACCCCTGATTAATAAAGAGACTTAGCCAAAAGGATGTTTATATATGTCAAATGCAAATATTGGAAATGTAATAGTATTTAATGTAACCGTGTCATTTTTGATCAACTTAATGCATCCGCAAAACTTAAGAGTCAAGGTACATGTATGCAATCCTTATTAATGATTCAATAAACATTATTACAAAGTTGTACTGACAAAATCCAGAATATAGTGTGAGGAACTTACAGATTTGGAAAAGGTTGAGAATTCTTGATCAAATTAACTGTCAATGACATTTAAAATGCGACTCCGATGTGTTACATATATTTTTAAGCCATGTTTGCAGTCATGTTAAGAGATCCCATTTCCCTCCTCTCTCTCTGTCTTCCCATCATTTCCTAGCATCCTTCTGCTATATTGTAAGATATTGTTTTTAGTTTAGTTTAAGTCTGATTGAAAGCTGAAAGACTGAAGTCAGAAGGGGCAGCAGTGAGCAGAAATGTACAGCGTGCGTCTTAAATGTGCTGTGTTTGTTCGCCCTCTGCTGGTGAATAAAGAATCATATCATCACGCACGCACACACACACACACACACACACACACACACACTCCAAACCATCATCTCTCATTATTACAGCAGCCCTCTTTCTGTTTCTCGGTGTATGTTTTTGTGTTTATGTGTGTGCTGAATGCTAGTGCTTTTGTTACTCAATCATTAGGATGTACTATACTGTACATCTGTTTACAGCCAGGTCTAATCTTTTAATGGCCTTCAAATCTCCTATCTTTTGTTAGAGAGAGGACATTTATCTGGATTATTCAGTGCGCCTCAAAGCATCCCGCTGTTGTCTGAGATCATCTTAATGTTTAGTGCCATGTTTTTTGTTTTGTTTTTTGTCTGGGTTACTGATATAATTATTATCTTGATAATAATTATAATGAATTCTTCAGGTAAGAGTTGATATTATAGCAGTGGTAAGTCTGTAAGGTCAGACTTGATCAGTGCTGGCAGCTTTTAATTGACAAACAGGAGTAGATCACAAAGCAGGTGAAAGTCCCAGAAGCATTTTTAGAAAATCACCATGTAGATTTGATGATCATGATATTGAAAATAATTATGTATGTTTGTATATCATCTCAATACAGCACCATGATGAACTAGAGGCAAACATTGACTTTATTATTATTATTATTATTATTATTACAGATATAAATAATAAATCAATAAACTTGAAAATGTTTTGCTGCTTGTTCAAACTACTTATTTAAAATAAGCCGAAACAACATGATAGTAATCTAATTGATTTGTGTTGGGACAACATGAAGGATCTGTGTGGAACTGCATTTTTTGCAGTGTATATTTATGTAGACTTTGAAAATGCCATATTGAACTAGAAGCAAAAATTGAGAACGTATATAACTAGTCTGTGTGTGTGTGTGTGTGTGTGTGTGTGTGTGTGTGTGTGTGTGTGTGTGTGTGTGTGTGTGTGTGTGTGTGTGTGTGTGTGTGTATTAGTTAGGGCTGTGTGATTTTTGGAAAATATAAAAAAAAAATTTACCTTTCCTTTCTTTTTTTTGACAGATATTTCAATTTGATTTGCGATTTAATTTTGTTTTCAAGTTTCAGCTCAATAATCTGTATTGTAGCTTCTTACTGCTAAAATGCAGTGTTACTTTAAAAGACATTAACTTCAACATTTGTTCAAATTTGTTTTTAAATATTCAGAAATGACCCACTCATGTCTCTCAGCAGCAAACAGTAAGCTCAAATAAAATGACCGTACCTTTCTGTTAACTAGTTCAACTCAAATCAGAGAGATATTTCAGCTTATTATAAAAACAAAAAATAATATTTATAAAAATGCAGAACAGTCAGCAAACTGAAATGACTGATAACAGGCAGATTGAAAAGTTCTGATTGGACAGAACGAAAGTGTGCTCACTCAACTGGCTAGTAACACTGCTATAAGTTAATTTAAAATCAGTTTTTACACCATTATATGTACAGCATTCTCAATGTAAACCATAAGAACAAAGAGGATTCTTGCAGGAGAAAGGGAGCTGTTTAGTTGTTGTCAGTACATCAAAGGTCAACATTTAGGTGAAAGACAATACACAATGTTTGTCCTACCTACATTTTCCATCCTATATTTCTTCAGTCATCAAGTAGTTCACTTTTAACTGTAATATATATATATATATATATATATATATATATATATATATATATATATATATATATATATATATATATATATATATATATAGTTGAAGTTAGAATTATTATCCCCCTCCTGATTTTTTTTTTCTTTTTAAAATACTTCCCAAATAATGTTTAATAGAGCAAGGACATTTTCACACTATGTCTGATAATATTTTTTTCTCTGGAGAAAGTCTTTTTTGTTTTATTTTGCCTAGAATAAAAGCTTTTTTTTTTTTTTTTTTTTACATTTTAAGGTCAAAATAAGTAGCCTCTTTAAGCTATTTTTTATTCGATAGTCTACATAACAAACCATCATTATACAATAACTTGCCTAATTACCCTATCATGTCTAGTTAACCTAATTAACCTAGTTAAGCCTTTAAATGTCACTTTAAGCTGTATAGAAGTGTCTTGAAAAATATCTAGTCAAATATTCTGTACTGTCATCATGACAAAGATAAAGTAAATCAGTTATTAGAAATGAGTTATTAAAACTATTATGTTTAGAAATGTGTTGAGAAAATCTTTTTCTCAGTTAAACAGAAATTGGGGGGAAAAATAAACAAGGGGGCTAATAATTCTAACTTAAACTGTATATGTATATATATAAAAAAAAAAAATAAATATATATATATATATATATATATATATATATATATATATATATATATATAATTTTTTTTTTTTTTGTCCTGGAAAGGAGCTCTTACTTGAAGCTTACAGCGTGATGTTAGATACAGCAGATGTCCACCGGCTGAGTAGACCATAATCTGTGCTTTATCTGTGTAGGTGAGAAGTACGAGCTGCACGCGGGTACAGAGTCCACTCCAAGTGTGGTGGTCCACGTGTGCGAGAGCGAAACCGAGGAAGAAGAAGAAGCTCGACCCAAAGCCAAGATAGTCCAGACCAGACGCCCCGACGGGCCCCCGAAAATCTACAACTAAACCCATCGCCTCACCGCACATGTTTCTCTCTCTCTCTGTGTCTCTTTCTCTCATCCAGGAGAAAGACACGCTTTATTTCAATAACAAAAAAACAAGCTAAATAAGACATGGATGGGTTTTGGATGGGTGCCCAGTGCACAGGTGACGCGTGCTGTTCTGAACGGGACTCGTGGACTGAACACACTGTCTCACCGCCGCCTCACGGGACAGATAGGGGGGACCATGAGCCTGCGACCCCCTTCTCACCATCATAGCACTTTCATTCCCTCATTTTAGACTCTTTGTACTGTAGCATTAAAGAGCAGTAATTGTATTTACCAGTCGTAGAAGTAGGTCACATGTAAACTTTGTTACGTTTCTCACTTTTGATTGATCATCAAAGGGGAAAAAAACGCTTTCAAAGACGGATTTATTTTGCTTTCTCCATTTTATTCTCTCATATCGGTCAGGTCGGCTCATGCGGAGGTGCATTTTTGTCGTTCATAGCCTACACCATGCTAGAATGGGACGACGAGTCAAACGTAAAGAGAGAAGGTGATGAGGGGAAGGTGTTTACGGAGTTAGATGTGTATTATTATTCTTACTGTGTATTTGATACCACACATTTTTGCATGCTAACTGGCGTATTTTATACACTATATTAAAGCATATATCTGACCGCTGTCTTTCTGATGATTGGCCTTGGAAAGCAAAGTAACGGTCAGATGGACAATTCTGCATTTCTTTTTTTTTTTTGTGTATTTGTACGTATAGCGCAACGTTCACTCGCAGGCCTGATAAATGACAAGGGAAAAGCACATGTTTTCATTGATCTTTTTGTTTCTTAGCCTTTTCTGAATACAGATTCTGTATGGTACAGAGATGATGTTTCAGAGTCTACACTGGGATGTGTTCAGATTATTTATTTCCAGAATGCTTGATCATTCACATTAGTGTTTTTTCCATTGCCAGATCCAATTTTGAAAGGAGAGTTCATCCAAAAATGAAAAAAACGTACTTGGTTAAGTAAGAATCACTTTAATTTTGAGGAATGTTGGTGACCAATCTGTTGTGGCGCCCACTGACTTCAATTGTATTGGAAAATAACACATTTCTCAATCAAGGATCTGGAAGAACGTCCCTTGTTTGGAATGACATGAGAGTGAGTAAATATTTTTGGGTGAACAATCCCATGTCCATGTTTGTTCTAGCTTATAAACCTACACTGTGTTCATTCATACCAAAACGGTTTATATTGAAGGTGTGTTGTAGTAATAATGTACAGTCAGTAAGGCAGAACACTGCTATTGACCAATCAGAGAGGCATGAAATAACCCCGCAAACAATTTTGTGTTTAATAAACGTCTAATAGACATCTACACGTACACAGCTTGGCTAAAACAAGGCTATACTTGGGCTGTCAGTGAAAATCTAATAGACATCTTAGAATAGTCCAAAACTAGACTAGTCGTCAAACAGACAGATTAGACAGACTTTATATGTGCAGTCATTCATTTCTGTTTATTTAATGACTAGTCTAGTTTTGGCCTGTTTTTAGACATCTTTTCACTGACAGCCCAAGTTTAGTCTTGTTTTAGACAAGACGACTAAGTTTAGACGTCTATTAGACATCTTTTAAAAACAAAAGATGCTTGCTGGGAAGAGACATTATAATCAGCCTTATTAAAAGTCACTTTCAAGAAAAAGAAAATGATCAATTGTATTTCAAAAAGTCAAAAGAGCAACTGGTATTCCTATGACTTTCTTAAACGGCATGCGTACATGCGAGACAAAAGATCTTTAAGTCTTTTATTTAAAAGCCAATCCTTCCCTCCTTTAGACAATAAGCTTTTAAACTTTTTCTTGATTTGGTAGCTCTGCATGCTGTGACTTTTGCATAGATGCAGTCTTTCCCTGTTTGTATTCGCCGCTCTGAATGCAGCCCTTTTTCTCCTGCCTGTTTCACCCTGACGGTGTTTCATCTTCACCGGGACGAAAAAAACATGGGTGAAAAAAAAATGATAACCAGCATGAACACATTTTTTGGACTCTTTGAGTTGAAGGAAGACATGAAGTATATGGAGCAAAATTTGTACTGAGCTGTTACAGATAAGCCTGTCGTCGGCAGCGTAATGTATTGATATTTTTTACTGTCTTTAAGGCTGTTGTTGCAGTTGCTTCGTATCAGTAAAAAGAAAAATCTCCTTTTTTAATGAAAGATGGTCAGTTTTATCACTGTTGCTGTTCTGTTTGGATATAGGTATCGTCTAGTACTGTAACTGTAGTTCATAACCCGTGAACACAAAGCAATAATTTACAGTTATATGTCTGTGTCCTGTATGGAATGGGTTTATTTGTTTTGATTTTGTTTTTGTTTTTTTGGCTGAGGTGTTTCTCTGACTCTTAGCTTGCTTATGTTGGTGTAAATATGATTGTTATTTGTTTCTCATTGGCATATAAATATATGAATTAAAAGTATATATAAAGAACTGATTCCTAAAAGCAGTTGTACTGTGTTTATTTCGCTCGAGTATTCTAGTAGATGACTGAAACGTGTGCATTTAGATTCACTTATCCCAAATGTTTAAAAATGGTGTTATGCATGTAGCCTTGTTAATAGTATCCTATATGAACATGGTTGGCATTTATTTTCTCCAGGGTTTTGATTAAACACATTTATTAAGTTTAAAATTAGAAAACTATTTGATATGAACCACCCCCCTCCCCCTGATAATTATATATCAGTTTAATGAAATCCATTTCCACCAAAAATGTAAAGACAATTATTACCTAAATAATAAATATTATTAATATATAAAAACTAATTCAACAGCTTTAATGTCTTAGTCCCTGCAAAGCAAAATTCCAATGGTAGAGTTACAGCTGTCAAAGAAAAAAACATAACATTGTAAAAAAACAAATTTTTTCAAACAGTTCAGAGTCAAAAGTGACGTAAATACTGGTGTAAATACAATAGACAGAAGTAAATACATAGCACAATAGTGTCATCTAACAAAACAAGTGTTTTCAGTGTATCTTACTAAGGATTTATGTAGACATCTAACAGAAATAGTTAAATAGCTTAGTAACAAATAAAGCTGATTCTGTTTGTGGAGTTGCTTAATTAACCTGATGAGCTGAGATTTTGAGAGATTTATGAAGTTTTCAGTTGAGTTTCTAAGGCCATGTAGACGTTTTTTTTTCTCAATTTTCTAAAAAACACAGACCCTGGCGCTTTTGAAAATCCTCACCCTGACAAGTTTTAAAAATTTGGGTTTAATTGACCTGATTCTATGTTTTTGTGCAGAAAAAAGGCAATTTAGACGATTCCCATGTTTGTGTGGACAGCAGGGCTTAAGGTTGTGACTGAATTTGATTGTAGTTTTGTGTTTTTCTTCAATGATTCTGCTTTTTAACAGCAGGAGTTCGTTAATCTCTGTTTAATCAGCACTTTAACTCTGCTCCAGTGTTGTTTTAACTCTTTACCTATCAAAAAAAGTCTACTTTAGCGTAACGATATCAGTTAAATGGTGAAAGTTATGTTTAGATGGGGTATAATGAAAGCAAAAATTCTTAAACGAGACCAAAAACCTTGATTTATTAACTTTATTCCCTAATTCTTCATGATTTACGTATAAGGTATCTGCCCACTGGCAACTATAGTTCCCCTTCGGGGGGAACTCCAGCACTATAAGTGGATTTGATTGTTAAAATCCACGCATTGGGAGGTTCGGTTCAGAAGCTACTCGTCTGAAAGAGTATTGAACGGGCCAATTAAGAAAGAATTGGCAGCGCAAGCCTACGCAGGTGTGCGGCATATGCAATCAACTGAGTATATAAGCACGCCTGGCGCCAGCAGACGCTATCCTTTTTAAGCTGAAGAGACTTTTAACAGCTAAGGGACAGTCATTATGGCGACGGAGTATAGTGCTTCCGTTCCCCTCCTCGGCGAACGAAGGGTTACTTTAGTAACCTCGAACGTTCCCCTTCGGGGGGAACTCCAGCACTATAAGTGGATTTGATTGTTAAAATCCACGTATGGGAGCCCATTGAAAGCGCCATAATGACTGCACCTTACCAACACCCACCATGAGAGAGCGGTCAGGCAAGCGTGACGCACCCAGATCACGAGAGACGTGGTCCTCCAACGTGCCCTTGGCCCTAACTTATCCCACTTCAAAAGAAGTTTTACGGAATAGGTATCTTTTTTTGGGAGTCGCGAGCGTCTAGATAATTCTAGGAATACACGACAGTACGTTGGGAAGCATGCCATCCCAGTAGGGAGGACGCTGCGGAGACCATCCGCACCCAATAGGGGGAAACAATTGGAATTACATATGGACTAACCCTGAAAAGGGGGAGTGCACATAAAAGGTGGTTAGCAGATAGGGAAAGCACGGGTCCGCCCAGGGGGGGAACTTAACCGTGGCGGAAAAAGCATATGGGGATCACCAGCGGGGATCGGCCATAGCAGGCACCTATACCCAAAACGCGGGCTGACCAGCGGGCAGACCTACTACGTAATGGGCCAGCAAGTGACTCCTCCGCTGAGTCAGTGCTGGGGGCCTCGGAGGAATCTGCAGGGCTCACCGAATGGGGAACTTTACTGACAGACAGGAGGGTGCACATCTCCTCGGGGAACGAAGGGTTACTTTAGTAACCTCGAACGTTGCCGCTTGAACATTTGACCAAGTATACAAAAAACGATAGATCTCTTAAAGGATTTGTTTTATTTGAATGAATCTAGAGACCTTCATGATTTTGTTGACATTTATTTGTGAACAAAAAATAATTTTTAGTATCATGAAAATTGTCTTCATTTGGGAGGGTTTGCATCCATTTTGAAGTCGAAGGCCTCATGTGACAGGAAATAAATCAGTTTAGTTCTTTTTTTAAATCTTTTACTTGGTTGTTTGCTTGCATGTCATTGAAAAATAAACATGAATAACATGTAGAAAATTACTCATAAAAGGAAAATGGCAACTATGAACTTCAGCTTAAATAGGTTAAGTCTGCTGTGTATCAACACTGGGTGTGAATGAAGTTTATGGGTGCAATATATTATTAGTGATAGATGAATAGGAAGTTGCAAGCAGGATATTTACAAAAGTTGTGTGTGTGGCTTTCTCTTCCTCGTGTTTAAAGAAGCAGTCATGTATGAACCAAAGCTGCATTTTTCTGTATTTGTCTTAAACGGTACTCCATTTTTAGCCTCATTAATGTCAATCAATTTCCGATTGCTTAAGTTTATTTTTAACTTCTCAGTTTTCCTTATTGTCAGGTTTTTCCATTTTTAATGAAGACTAGGATTCACTTTTAATAGAATTAGCCTACTTTCCTTGTTTAAATCAGACAGTAAAAGGAGGAGTTCGGGACACACCTGATTTTTGTTTCTGCCTGTCAGCGAGGAGATCCCAGCCCAGTCTCCTGGGACACAAATACTGCTACAGAGATGCTCATTAAACAGGCTCTCGCATGTCCAACTAGGAATTATTCACTGCAGAAAATAAGGAGCAGTGAATCACATACAGTAGCTCTAAACAAGATTTACTACAAGAACTAAATTTTGAAATCTTTTGATATTATTATATACATGTATGCGCACTCACACACACACATACACAGAATCTGATTATGTATACTGCAAACTGGATCTCTTACAGTTTTTAATCTGAACACTGCAACAAAATAAGTTTTTCCTTTTGACATAAGATTATTTAACTTAAACCATTGGCAGGTTATTTTGTGTGTTTTAAGGAAAAACTTAGTTTTGGCATATTAATTCTTAAAACAAGACAATGTGTTTTGTTTGTCTAGAAAATGCTGCTTCATTCAAGAATATTTCGATATTTGGACTAGAAAAGCCAAAAAGTACATCACATGTTATGCTTAAAATGAACAAACTGATTGTTTCTGTATTAAGTATATAATATCAAAAAACAAATAAAGCAACCACAGTAGTTAATCAGAATATTTTAAATGTCTGCAGTTGGTTGACAGCTAATACCACTAAGCAAATAGTTTACAGACAATAACTGATCAGTGACTAATAAACGTGTAAATGACATACTATTTTGTCTAATTAGGCAATGAGGTAGGAAAGGCTCTGCTGTAAAAACAGTCACACCTAAAGGGCTGTTATTGTTAAGTTATCGTTTATGTAAGGTCATTAAAAAATGTTTATGTTAAAAAAAAACAATAGCAAGTTCCTCTATCGTGTCTATAAAACATAGATTGAAGGTGTTCTTATGCGCTTTCTTTTCATTTAAGCACGGCCGATACATGCAACAGTAGGAGCTTGCCTAATAAAAAGTATACTTTATCACTTTAACTAAAAATTAAAAAACCTCAAAACATTATACAATTCTGAGGGTGCATCACACAGGTGAGTGGGCTCGACAAACCACCTGTAAAAACACACATTCATCATTCTGATATATTGTTAGACCAGAGAATTTACACCAGACCCTTTCTTACAATCACTCTATATCTCTAGAAAAAACAATGAGCATTTCTGAGTGTTCTTCACACTGGTGGGTGGACTTGACAAACCACCAGTAGACTCTTTCCATATGCACTGGAAACTTTACTTACACTCCATCTAACAAGGGCTCAGTAAGGAAAACATTGTTTACTTGTGAATGTACATTTACTACCTGACAAAAGTCTTGTTGCCTATCCAAGTTTGAAAAACAACTAATAATAACTTGACTTTTATTTGATTATTTGGTATAACAAGTGGCTTATACGAAAGGCAAAGGCCTCTAGATTATGCTTTATTATCCCAAAATAAAATATTATCATGCCATGATTTTTAATTATTTAATTAGGACAGAAAGGTCTGACTTTGCTTTGACAAAATTCTTGTCACTTAACAGAAATAATAAAGTGTAGAACAAAAAGTCATGGTGCAGTGGAAAAAGTGGAGAATATAGTGTATGACTTCCATGAGCTTGGAGGACTGCATCCATACATCTCTGCAATGACTCAAATAACTTATTAATAAGCATATAAAATAAAAATATAAAAAATATAAAATAAAGCATTCATGCAGGACTCCCAGAGATCGAAATTCTTTGGATTTATATTCAATGCCTCCTCCATCTTACCCCAGACATGCTTAATAATGTTCAACTGGCAACTGGGCTGGCCAATCCAGGAGCACCTTGACATTCTTTGTTTTTTTAGAAACTTTGATGTGGAGGCTGAAGCATGAGAAGAAGCGCTATCCTGCTGTAGAGTTTGCCCTCTCTTGTGGTTTGGAATGTAACGGGCAGCACAAATCTCTTGATACCTCAGGCTGTTGATGTTGCCACCCGCTTTGCAGATCTCTCACACACCATGATTTTTCCTTAACCAAACTTGACTGATTGCTGTGAGAATCTTGGGTCCATGCAGGTTCAGGTCTTCTGCAGTATTTGTGATGATTGGGACACAGTTCAACAGATGATTCATCAGAAGAAGCTTCTTCCACTTTTCCAAATGCTCAACTAGAAATCCAA